GGATTCTGGGCAGGTAAAAGAGCCCGGCAATTGGCATGGGTAGGATGCCAAGCAGGTAAAGCAGCAGAAAGCCCCTTGGGAGAGGGAGGAAATGTGGATACCCTTGAGTATTTGGTGCTCAGTGGCTGCTTTACTGCTGACTGGAGTCTGGATGTTGCTCACTGTACTGTGAGCAAACACAGACCAGAAGCCCCTTGAAGCTGCTGGAGGCTGTTCAGTTGTACAACAGGTTTGTAGGGTCTGTGAACTCCTACCCCTAGCTTTAGCCCCGACAATACAAATGGAAAACTTAGTGTAACTAAAATAATGAAATATTTTGGCTTTAGTTATGAATTGCCCTAGCCATACAACTGGCATAGCTATTGCTGTAGCAAAACATACACCAATTGTATGGCTAGGCAATTCATAACTAAAGCCAAAATGTTTCGTCATTTTAGTTACACTGTTTTCCATTTGTATTGTCAGGGCTAGGGGTTAGGGCTCACAGACCCTTCAAAGCCACTGTACAGGCTGGGTCACCAGACCCCTCACACACAGGTTCATACTAGGTAATTGGGAAAGGTCCCAGAAGCCGTTGACAGGTGTCACGAGCTCAGTCCTCAGCAATGGCGGCAGCAGCAGCCTCCTGAAACATCCCAGGGGGCCCTGGCAGCACCAGCTTGCAGCAACTGCCTCCAGTAGCAGTAGCGGCCTTGCTGTGGGGCACCATGGATCAGAGCCACTCATCCTTTATACTTGTCTGATAACCTAGGACACCTGGGTGCCCACGCATATCCACATCAGACAATAGCCAAGGAACACGGGGGCGCATGTGCATGTTTACATCAAATGCTTGGCAAGATTCTGAACATTTGAGGGGCCCTGACCATTTTCCTTCACTTTCCCTACAGCTAGTTTCAATAATGTTTAATAGTGAGATGAATATGTGTAAGACACTTAGTACAGTGCCTAAAACACAATAAGTACCCAATAAATGTTAGGTGATATTAATACCATTATTATTGAATCCCAGAATGACAGGGGCTTAAAATGCAGATGTAACAAAAGCAGCCTTTAAAAGCTAAATTTTTTTTCACAGCAATAACAACAGGGAAGAGATAGACCCATTGTTCAAGACAGATGATGTAATGTTAATGAGACTGAATGTAAGGTCTCCTTTCTCCTAACATTCTTCCATTTTCTTTATTAAAGAGAACTATCTTCAACCTGGAAAGGGTTACAAACATGAGTATAAGGTAATTGGGACCCAAGATAAATGATGCAGCACTGAAGGAGAGCCCTTCCACTTTACATGAGCTCAACTCTCTTGATTCCAACTAAATATATCCAAGAGCTTTACAGTGTAATTGCAGAACCCCTCTTGATAAATATTGAGAAATCAGGAAGCTGAGAGGGGTGAGGAAAAACTGGAGATGGGCAAATGTTGCCCAGGTTTGAGAGAGAGAAAGAAAGTGGACTCGGGAAATTACAGACTGATATGCCTGATGTTTATCTGTAGTCAGGTAGGTTTTGAGCCCTTATAAAAAAGACAGCAGGTGTTACTAGTGGCCAATGTGGTGCACTATGGGTAATTAGTCAAATTAACCTCATTTCCATTGTTGACAGATTGGTAGAGGCATTGCTATGCATATTGCATACTTAATTTTAGCAAAGCACCTGACAGAATCTTTCAGGATTCCTGGTGGGAAACATGAAGAAATAAAGGCTAGATTTAAAGTTTGTTTAGCCAAATTGTAGAGGGCTGAACATCCACATCTAAAGAAGGGAACGGGGCTGGCCAGTTAGCTCAGTTGATGAGAGTGCTGATAACACCAAGGCCTGAGTTCCACCCTCCCAAAAAAAGGGAAAGATGTACACTATAGGTGCTCAGTAAATATGTGTTACACAAACGAATCAAGCTGGAGGGAGGTCTTGGATGGCATGCACCAGTCTCATTCAATATTTCTGATCATGAATTCAGATGATGACTTATGAGTCATGGTATCAGATTTGCAGAAAGCAAAACTTGGAGAACTGATAAATTCAATCACAAAATCCAAGATTCAAAATGAAACCAACAAGTTAGGATAATGGTACAAAGCCTAAATGAAATGAAAGAGACAAATGCAAGTCATTCATTAGGTTCCTAAAAGCAGCTGCACAAATGTAGGAGAGGCCTGGGCTCACCACATTTCATGCAAGAGATTTGCAGGTTCGAAATGATCACAAGTTCACAAGTGCTTCATTAGTATAAGGTAACACAGCTGCAACCTTAGACTACACAGCAGGATGAAGGAAGGAGAGAAGAGCCCCAGTTTGCACTGCTCCAGCAATAATAGCTTGTATTTATTGTGTGCTCACTATATGCTGGTACCGTGCTGTTTACACGAATGATTTCATTACACCTCTGGTGTAGTTTTGATCAAAAAGGATATCTATTGCACCAGAAGAGGGAAAGATTTGTATGTAGAATTAAATTATTAGAAATATAATGTGTAGTCAGTGAACTGAGGACATCAGAAGAGACACACAATGTTGGTAGAAGAGGCTGCAGCGTGTTTACATTCTTGGGCCCCCAAGGGGGAGATTAGCAGAGAATCAAGTTAGATTTCAATTGAATGGAGCCATAGACTTGGCTAAGACTGAATTAGGTAGGCCCACCCTAGGTTGTCCCAGTTTGGTAGCCCCTTCTTCAAGTGAACAGACTGTAATGAGAAAAGCCTAAAATTACAGTAACTAAGGGGTAAAGCAATGTGTGGCCTACTTGGATCCACCTTGCGGGTAGTTTTTTTTTGGAGGGGGTTGTGGACAAAGGGGGCAATCAAAGGAAACTCACTTGAAAAAATGCCATGAAAAAAAAATAGGTGGGGAGACTGCTCTAGATTAAAAGAGATTACGGAAAACATAACCAATGTAATGGTTAAAACTTGATTGGATCTTGGTCTGGGGAAAAAAAGAATCACTATAAAAGACAGCATGAGACAATTGAGGAAATTGGAATATGGACTGGAAATAAGATGACATTAGGAAATCATTGATTTTCTTAGGTGTGAAGATAATCTTGTTTCTGTTGGAGAATATCCTAATGCTTAGATTGATGCTGAAGTTCTTAGGGGTGAAGGGTCATGATGTCTGCATGTTATTTAACTGAATCAGTTAAAGAAGTAGACATAGAGACCTACAGAGCAAATGTGGCAAATATGAACAGTTGTGGCATCTAGGTGAAGATTTTCTTTTTTTTTTTCGTCTTTTTTCCGTGTCTGGCAACGGGATAGCAACCCTCGGTGTTGCCCCTGCGCCTCACTCAGCCAGTGAGCGGGAACCGGTCTGTATGTGGGATCCGAAGCCTCGGCGGGAGCACCTCCGCGCTTCTCAAGCGGCGCACTAGCGCAGTGTGCCACCAGGCCGGCCCCCTAGGTGAAGATTTTCTAAATAGTACTTTCAACTTCTTTGTATGTTTGAAGTTTTTCAAATAAAAATATTGGGGAAAGAAAGCAAACATAGGGACTAAGGTGGTAAGCAAATAACTTCCTGGGCGTTGGAGTCAGGAACATCAGCAGGTTTGTATCCACCAAGTGCCTCACCCCCTCTACCAGGGATCAACACTCCATGGGAGAAAAGCATGGTAGGCAGAGCCCTTTATCTGAAAGTTTTCTTTATCTGTCTGGCTCATTAGCGGTTGTGACAGCCTGCTGTTTGGATTGCTTTCCCTTGCCTAGCCATTGCCAAGCCAGGCTGAGCCCACCTAAAAAGGTTGGGCATGTAAAGAGTGAGGGTCAGCACAAATCTCACACTAACTCAGATGAAGACATTATGGCTCATGGAGGTAGGTATTTTTAACCGTGGTCACACAGCTGGCCTGTGGTGAAGCAAGGCTTTGAATGCACAGAGTCTCAACTCCAGGATCCAAACTGTTAACCACAGCACTGGGCTGGCATCTGCAGAATGCCAGGCCACCACTGGCATTCACATCTTAAAAAGCATGCTGACAGATCAAAGCTAGCAGTAGCTCCTAGAGAACTACCAAGAGAATGGAAATCTGGAAATCGTGTCCTGTGAAAAACACTGCAGATTTATTTCTGTCTGGGATAAAAAAAAATAACTTAAAAGAATGCAATGACTGTCCTCAAGTTCTCAAAGAAATACATGGCAAAGAGGTTTATTTTGCACAGCAGGATAAGAACAAGTAATAGATTTCAACATGAGGATTA